AGAACAAAGTCGGAGCGTATTCACAGTACAGTATTGGCTTGGACAGCTGTCTAGCGGTTAGAAACAGGAAAGTCATTGTACTAGCTTGCAAATATTTAATTTTCAGGACAGATCTGTAACAGATGTTGTGCATTTCTTGATTATTTACATTCACACATCATATTTCACTGCACTTCAAACTGAATTCAGATCATTTCAGATTGTTTCCAAGTAATGGAAAAGAGTCGTACAATAAATAGTTGTACTAACATTTCAAAAGTGTACAGTAAATACGCAGAGCAACCGTTCCCATCAGTAACATGAAACTTTGCTGTTCCTCTTGGGGGTTGTGGAGGGTTAGACATTTGGAAAATAAAGGGGTCTGCAGCACTGGACATGGTAAAGCTGTGCTGATTTGTACGGGGAACACACACATATGACCCACTGAGCAGTGGTGCAAGACAAGGCACGAAGATATGCGTTTGTATGTGTCACACCCTGTAATGTAATGTGTAAGGTATCATTTCCTGGAACTGTGAAATGACATAAGGCTACCTCTTACTTTACTTTCCAGTGGAATGCCCCTCAGAGTCTAGTCAACAGCTACTGTACACATCAGCATTCCCTGTGCATAGTTTTTCCTGCTTATAACGGCTGCACAATTTGGTCAAAATGCCATTTTTTGTTCATTTTGTCATGCAGAACATTTTTTCTTGTCGAGCAGTTTGAATGATGATATGATAAACATCATGATAACATATTGCTGCTTCTAAAATATCCAGGAGAAAAATGAACAAAAAGACTGTCAGGACATTAAAGTGAACACGGAGAACTGTTTTTTTTATTACACTTAAGTTGTGATATGGTCTCAGTCCATATTGAAACATATTGTTCCGTTTTTGGAACTCAATCAGTGTGAATATAATAATAATAATAATACCATTCAAAGGTTTGAGGTTGATACGATTTTTTAAATATATTTTTTTGAAGAAGTGTCTTATGCTCACAAAAGCGGCATTTATTTACTCAAAATACAGTAAAAACAGTAATATTGTAAATATCACTGCTTTCTGTTTTAATATATTTTAAAATGTAATTTATTCCTGTGATGGCAGGCTGAATCTTCAATGTCACATGATCATAAAAGCATTGTAATAAACTGATTTGGTGCTCAAGAAACACTTCTTGTTATTATCAATGTAAAAAAAAAGAAAGAAAAAATGAAAAAATAATCTCACTGATCCCAAACTTTTGACATTGAATTTATTTAATACACGATTTTCACAATTTGAGTTGAATTACTGAAATAAATGAACTTTTCCACGACATTCTAATTTATTGAGATGCACCTGTATACTGATCAGTTTCAAGAACTATAATAATTACTAATGTCATATCAATATTTTTCATCTTTAAGGAATTTAGTAAACTGGACACAATTAACAACGGCATAATCTTGCAAATATTTTCCAAACATGCTTTGATACGGACAAGCAAATGTTGAATTGAAGTGTTATTTTGTGTGTTTTTACATAAAATGTATATAGAAGGAGTTCCATTAGTGTTTAATGTTCAGTTATTTGGAATTTATAGAAGTTTCTGTTGAAGTAATGTTTACTTACATTTAATAAGTTCATAAGGATATTTCATTGAATTCACTTCTTTAAATTGAAGTCAATAGAAAGAAAGAAAGAAAGTACATGAGTACATCATAGTTTTTAGAGTGCAGTTTGGCACATATTTGAATGAATGCATTTTTTTCTCTGATTTCTTTTACAGGTACCGGCTGTGAACGTGATGCTGTTTCATGTGTCCTCATATGTAATGTTGCACAGTGTACATGTTGTGGTATACTTCAGTACATGTAATTCAGATATTTATAAGAGACGACATTTGCTAATGCTTTTAGATTATGTTTCATAATGCTATATATAAAAACATATTTATAAAAAAAAATTAAACACTGCTGTGTAAAGACTATCGCCGTTTGGATGAAAACGGACAAACAAAAATAAGCAGATAGATTTTTCTGTCTGTTGCACAGCTCTGATGTGGTCTTCTGTGTACTTTTGATATTGATATTTTCACCATTTGTTTATGGAGTACAACAAAATAATAAACAATGTTGTATCTTTATAATGTAATAATCATTCGTGTCTTTATCTAAATGCAATGACTGCCACAGAACTTCAAAAATAAGAAGCATTTCATCATTCCCTTTAAATAATAAAAACATGAACATTTTAACCTATGTAAATATTATTGCATAAGTTGTATTCTTTTTTTATTTGCAGCATTGCAAGTTTGTGTTTACAATTTATAATGAAAAGTAATAATTCTTAAGAAAGCACCAACACATTTCCTGCTATGTACTGTTTTTTATATTAAAAGAGGGACTATTGTTATCATTGCTCTTGTGTGAGCACGTTTGTTGTTTTCTTTGCATATACACTATCAAAGGAAAGATTTTTGAAAGTTTTTTGAAAGATGTATCTTATGCTCATCAAAACTGCATTTATTTGATCAAAAATACAGTAAACAGTAATATAGTGAAATATTATTACAGTTTGAAATAAATGTTTTCTATTTTAAAATGCGATTTACTCCCTAAAGCTGAATTTTCAGCAGCCATTACAGTGTCATGTGATCCTTTAGAAATCATTCTGATTGGGTGATTTAGAATATGCTGATTTGGTGGCCAAGTAACAATTCTTGAAAACAGTTGTGGCGCTTAATATTTTTGTGCAAACTGTGATACATTTTTCAGGATTCTTTTATGAATAGAAAGAACAGCATTTATTTCAAATATATGTATATTTTTGTAATTATGTAAAAATATTGACTGTCACTTTTGATCAATTTAATGATAAAAGTACCCCCCCCCCCAAAAAAAAGTGTACATGCAAGGAAGCAAGGCAGTATATGTCATACCTTGCACTCTGCCAGTTTACCCATAATGCTTCATCTAAATAAGAATAAATAGGTTGATAATTTGACTACAGATACACTTAACGCCTTATACACCCAACCACACTATAATCTTACATAATTATGACATGACCACGCTATTTAGGACTATTTATTGAAAGTGATGAGCTATGAACTTCCTGTGGGACTATCTATGGTATAGGCCTATATTTCATGTTGCACCCATGACTTTGTAATTCATGAGCATTCTTTTGGCTTCCACCTGAGTTAAAGTTTCTACTAAGTGCATTTTCTAATGCCAAAGGTCTGGAATACGATGGGAATGTGAAAGAACATTGTTTACCTTTGAGCAGGGCTTGGAACAAAACATAGCTTTAGGCAAGAGCAGCCGCTGTCATGTGGTGCAGCAGAACCGTTGCAGTTCAGTATAACAGTGGTGGAAAACAACGCCAGATGGAACTCATTAGATTTGTTCTCCTCCAAGTCTTGTCTGGTCTGTTTGGTTTTAAAACCCTGTTGATCAGATAATATGTGCAGATACATTTGGGTTTTGCATGAGCTGCTAGTACTCACACATTAAGGATTTCATATTCAGTGTTGGAGGAAAGTTACTTTTAAAAGTAATGCATTACAATATTGCGTTACTCCCTAAAAAAGTAACTAATTACGTTACTTAGTTACTTTTTATGGAAAGTAATGTGTTACGTTACTTTTTAAATCTGGGCAGGGCTTATTTGTTTGTTTTTAATATAAAATGTTCTTCTTTTACTAAGGTAAAAGCCCTGTCACAACAAAAGTGAAATGAATACGCCTCAGGCTGAAGGAAATGTAAATGTCTGTACAGTAGAGGGCGCAGCGCAAACAAATCGCATGAAGAATATGACTCAGGAGAAGAAAGTTCAACACTATTCAGCAATAACTAAAATCAAACACAAATGTGTCATTTTTGCTTAGTATGGTTGAATTGGATCATCGAAGGTCAGTAGCAAAGACATTGGTTAATAAAATGGGATTAAATACATAAATGATATTTGTCTTATTTAACAATTATTGCAGGTTTGTATAATATTCTGAGTTTGCATTTGACTGTTTTTATTCATTTTGAGGAATACTGAATCTGTTTTTGTGCAGGTGAGATGAGTAAACACATGTTCATATTTAGTCTAGAACTCCAGTAAGCTCATGTTCACACACAACGCTCTGCAGGTACTCCTGATTTCTCTCAACATGGCAACACCAGAGCTGTCAGTCAATACATGGAAACAAAGTAAGTGGAGTTACTTATTTGAAAGCGTAACTCAGATATTTCCTTCTAAATGAAAAAGTAATGTGTTACTTAAAAAAAGTAATCTGATTACGTAACTTGCGTTATTGTAATGCGTTACCCCCCAACACTGTTCATATTACATATTGCTTTATTATCTGTCTAAAACAGTTTATCTTATATTTAGTTTGCTTTCAAATTGTAGGGTTTTGTAAGCTTGTGAGCATTCTGTTTAGTACAATATCAGTATCTGTACTATCTGCTACTACATGAATAACTTATTACATAAAAATTATATATAAATGAATAATAAAAAAATATTTTATATTACTACTACTACTAATATAAATGTGTTATTCCAAAAAAAAGGACTATGTTAAAATAGAAAAAAAAAATAAAGTTACAAGTAAAGGGTAAATATGACAATACAATACAATAAAGTAAATTAAATAATGTGAAGTAGAGTAAGTACAGTAAAGTAAAATGAAGCGTTTACGCATCTGTTCCATGCTTCTCAGAATCACGTTGTTTGGCACTTTAGTTTCTGATAGATTAACAGTGAACAAAGTAAAAAGAAGAGAAACATTAAATCTTGACTCCCATGTTAAGTCTGGTCATTACAGTGATGACAGCAACCTTTGTTGAACACACCAAACTCAATGAAAAATCAAGAAACATATTTATAATTAAATAAAACATATTAAATAATAAAACCTAAAACGGGGCATTTACACGGGGAATCTCAAATGATACTTTTTGGCCCTTTACAGTCCGCAGACATGGCAACGTAATTACGTCGTATTTAAGCGACACTGAACGCGAGCGACGGTGACGTTCCTGGACGACACACGCCATCACCCGTGGACAGCGAGTCGTACAGGAATCAGTGGGATAAAGGCGATCGCGCTTAACGGAGAAGCATCGGAGTCGTGCGCCGTATCCCGGGCGTTCTTTAAATCGGTCACATATTATTCCAGGGAGATTTTAGTTTTTGCAGAAGATAAATAAATAATAAAGCTCTCCCTGGTGCGTGGGTTGGAAGGGTTGGCGTAACGCTCCTACTTTATTCCATCGGATGAAAATGTTTGGTTTGTGCTTGTAAAACTTCAACTCGTTTTCAAAGGATCGTTTCATCTTCCTTTCGGGCAAACCGGAGAGGAGAGGAGAAGAGGAGAGACCGGTGACCGTAATTGGACTCTGGATAGGATACCTGGGGGAGCTAACTGTCCCTGTGCACACAGGCGCCTAATATTCCTTCGCCTTTCCATCAGTTTCCAGGGTAAATACATGCATTTGTCTAATAAAACGTCTTGCAAATGTAAACTTGACCATGCTAGGGTGATTTTGTAGGAGTAGCGGGCCATGTGATCAGCTTCACCACACAACCTCATGCAGGTAATGCACATATGGAGCTGATTACATGGCCTCTCTCGTGTGTATAATATTCAATATATGTAACGTACAGCTGCTTATGGTATGCTTATATTTAATATGCCAGTCTGATGTGTAGCTTGCGTGTCATTTAAAACCGCAGTGTTTCATTGATGAGAGAAATCACTCGCATGCACTATTCTCAAACTGTTGTTGTTGTAGTTAAACTACATTAACCCAATTCCAAGATATAGGACACAACAAATACGCAGTGTTTGCTAGAGTTTTGTAGCTGCGTAAAATAAATCTAATACAGCTTTAACAGCTTGATCATCTGGGTTTTTTCCACTTTCGTTGTATTGCTATTTTGCTCATACTGATTTGAGTTCAACTTCAGATATACTTAACAAAACCAATTTCTCTTGTATTAAATAGTAAGTTTACAGTAGATAAAAACGCTGTGGTTGCCCTCTAAATACACTGGATGTTTTACTACACCGGTGTGTTTACATATATTCGCGATTGGTTGGCGTTTTAGATTAATAACGATTACTAAACCCTCACCACCCATCATTATCATGAGTATTCCTTGTGTTTTCACTTGTTTTGCTGTAGTTTAGCCGGTTAGCGACATGAGGTTTAGCTTAGGCTAACACCCAGAGCTGGACAATCGAAAGGCGAACTCGTTTATGAATGTTTATCCGATTGTCTACTATACTGTCGTTTATTTTATGAAGTGCTGTGCTGTGTGCCCGTGCAGCAGGATAACATCTGATAGCGCTTAGCCTAGCGCGTTAGCTTAGCTTGCTAACAATCGACGTTCAGCCTGTGAACCACCACCGCCGAGTCCCGTAAGGGCTTTAAATCCATGTGAAGCGCCCGCCAATATCTGCAGACTTTTCACTCTTTAATAGGACTTTTCGGGAAACATTAGCCGGGCTGGCACGTTGTGAGGGAGAAATTATTAATTTGTACAGATGTATGTGCAGCGCGTGCACGGCTCGAGAGACAAGCACATGTTAGCACTGACTACAGCCGATGGAAGTTTGTCAAAGCATGCTTTCTTTTCTCAAACTCTTCGTGAAACTTTTCTCTCTTTTTTTTTCAGCCCCAACATCCACGTAATGATAATAACAGCACTTTTTATCCATCTCTCCACACGAGTGAATTGAACAAATGGAGGCTGCGCTATATTAATATATGGGGTCATATGATGCGATTTAAATTTTTTCTTTCTCTTTGGCGTGTTACAAGCTGTTGGTGCATAAAGAAGATTTGTAAAGTTGCAAAGACTAAAGTCTCAAATCCAAAGAGATATTCTTTATAAAAGTTAAGAGTTAACCACGCCTACCTAAAACGCATCGTTCTAACTCGCTCCTACATGTCTACGTCACGATGTGGGAAGATTTGCATAACACCGCCCAAATGTTCACGCAAAGAAAGGAGTAACTTTTATTCTCGCTGTAGTATTGTTGACGCTGCCGCCATGTCCTGAAGACGCTGTGTGTTTCATTGTGAAAGCGAAACTACTTTGTTTGGTCTTCCAAAAGAGGACGATATCCGCTTCGTCATGCCTGGAGCTGATCTGTGCTGGTCGCTGAGGGAATACATCAACTTTCCCCGTGGACAAAGCGGAGTTCAGCCCGCCTCAGCTCACTCTATCCCGGCCTCAGCGCACACTAAGCCGGGGCTTCCCCTCACGCTAGGCCGCTGTGTTTTTCGTTGCCACTGATGATTCAAACGCGAGTTTTGGGCAGTAGAGTAGCACTTGTTGTTTGTCATTTCTCCGATCACAAATGCAGACAGAGTTTTATGTTTACGCGGCGCACCGGCTGGGACACGGCATCAACAGTATGGTGAAGGGCGTAACATTTCCGTCACATGCTTGAGGTACTCGGCCAATCACAACGCACTGGATAGCTGGCCAATCACAGCACACTTAGCTTTTTCAGACCGATGAGCTTTGTAAAAATCGGCGCGTTTCAGAAAGGCGGGGCATAGAGGAGAAACAATAATGTACAGTATGTTAAAAGTAATGTGTGTTTTTTTTACTTTAAACCGCATAAACACATTTCATTACACCAAATACACAAAATAATATTCTTTTTAGCAGCATCATATGACCCCTTTAAATGAACACATGGCTATACAAAACTTCTTTAGCTCTGAAAGGCAAAGACTTTGCTTTATTTTCATAACCACACAGCAAATTTATATAGATTTAATTTATAAATATACGAGACTGTGGCTTCTACTGAAGTTTAGGGACTTGAACACAAGTGAGCCTTTGAAAATTTCAGCATAATCTGTAATATTATGTAACTTGTTTTACAGGGTTTGCAATGCCATCTATTGCTCCATGTGTTTATGTAATATCTGTTATCAAATAAAAGCATTACTTGGAAAAGGAAGGAGGTTTCTCTAGAGAACAGACGGAGGTCAGTTTGCAAGTTTAAAAACATTTCTCCTAGCACTGCACCTCTAGTTTGAATAGTTTTGTCACCTGTTTGAAAGTTAAAGCATCAGGACAGAGGTGCACAGACCCCTCTGGGTTTGCTTGATTTGGTTTTTGAGGTCGTTCTGAATATTGTGGGTCACTCTGGGATACAGTGGAAAGGGTTTGATAAAATTGGAGGGGAGGGAGAGGAGAAAGAGCAGGAAATACAGAAGATAGTGTGTGATCTTTCATCCTCTCACACCCTTTCCACAACATCCATTTCCACTTCCGAGAGCCCAGAGTCACCCTCCTGCAGGGAATCGGCATCCCTCTCGGAAGGGTGTAGGGTGCTCTGTCTCAGCTGATGTTTTGAGCTCTTTTACGCCGTGGCCTTTATGCTATGAATGCTTTGAAGGCTTTAGTCTGCTGTATGGATCTTTGAGACTTGCTGAATGGCCTTAATGTTTTGATAAGACACAAAGAGAGCATACAGAAGACATGACCGGACTGGGAGATGAGAGAAAGGAACCGGGTCATCTGATGAGTGGCTCTTTGAACAGAATATTTTTCAGGCCAGCCACTTCTTAATGACACTCTGCTATAATAAGAGCAGGTCTGTTGTGTGGCTTTGATTTAAAGATAGTCGTGGTTAAAAGAGTTGCAGCAATCGGCAGCCTTTCACTGCAAACTCCCTTTGTGTTCTCTGGGCTCCTCATTAAAGGCAAGTTTTCTAGAATTTCACTCGTGTTCCCCTATGATGGAATATGATGGATTCTGTTGCTCAATTAAAAGCTTTACTTAGGAGAGCTACATGAATTTGACATTGAGTAAACTATGTAAAGGGCTTACCCAAGTCTTCCAATACTGGGAAGTCTTCTGCTGAAAACCAGCTCTTTTAGTTCATGGATTTCGGCTGAAGGCAAGTGCATATAACACATACTGAAGCTTTTACTAAAGCTTTATTGATGCTGTTAGTAGGCCTGTCACGATAACAACTTTTTGTTGTGCAATATATTGCCCCAGAAATAATTGCGATAAGCGATATTATTGTCATTTTAAAGACCATTTTATGCCACTGAATATATAATCATAATGTAACAGCATAATAATGCAAGAAGGCCTACACGCTTCCAAATGACAACAAACTTTAAATTAAGAATATTTAGATCGAAATATTAGATACCTGAATAAATAGTAAATAAACATTTTCTAACAAAAAGTGCAAAGTAACAAGTAGAAAAAAAGTAAAATGCACAAAGAACTTATATTTAGATTTTTCCATCTACAGATTTTTCCCGGACCTTCTTTTCGCTGTAAATTAAGCGTGCACACTATTGCTGAAAAACACAATCACTACTTAGCAGTCAGATGTCCGTATGCACAAAGGCACAGATCCCTAAACGAGATCAAATCTGCAGATGAAACTTTTTTTTGTAGAAGCATTTTTTTAATTTGTACTAGCACCTCATGACTACACCACGTTATGAATGAGAAGCTGCAAAAGACACTGGTGCAATGTACCAAACATGGTGGCATTAATTTTTAAGTAAATATAATGGGCGATATATTGCGTCACCAAAAATTATTGAGGTCATGTACATATATTGCGAGATAAGTCGATATATTGATTATTGCAACAGGCCTAGCTGTTAGGTCACAAATGGCATGCATAGAACTCTTTAGATAGCTTTCTTGATTTCTGCTTAGTTGGAACACATTCTTCATTTGTTTATTACATATATCTAGATTTTAGCTGGTTGTGTTTTAGCTACAAATAAAAGTGCAGCACTGACTGCGCAGTTTTAAGGCCCATTCGCACTAAGCATAATCTATAACTAAACTAGCATCCACACAAATGGACTATAATGTTAGTTATTGTTCTTGGTGTGAATGTTATTTAACACATTTTAGCATATGCAAGTCTGTTATGCAGAATTCTGTTGATTTTCACAAACAGGGTAACACCGTAAGGTCTCATTAATGAGATTAATAATAATAAACGAGCAATAAATTGGTTACAGTATTTATTCTTTGAATTTTATTCACATTTTAGTAGATCTGTAAGCAAAATTAAGTGCAGTAGGTTAAGTGCTGTAGATGTATTGTAGTCTTTTTTTTGTTAGTCATGTTAACTAATGTAGTTAACCAATTTGTTATAGTTCATCTCTTAAGTCAGTTCAGACCTCTGTGCTTTATTTTTTCCTACTGAGGAACTCAAAAGATGTTTGATATAATATAAAAATTAGGATATAAGAACTTTTTATGACCGTTGACATTCATGATTAGGGCAAAAAACTAAGATATTTCTCAAAATATATTGTTTGTTCATTTTTAGGTAAACTATCCCTGTGCACACAATACCTTATGAACTCTTGATATGGTTATGTCTCCTCAGCTCGTGTGCTGAGGGAAAAGAAAAGGCCGCGGTCACATGACTGTCATCTCTTCTGCTGTAACGGAGGTGTGAGTTG